CACGATTTCTAAGGACCAAGTACTCTTGAGGCCTGGCGGGGGGCGGAGAGGCTTTTCTTTCCTTGCCTCATTTAATTCTCACAACTATCATCCCCTTTTCCATATTGGGAGACTGAGATTTAGGTTAACATGCCTGAGAGTGTGCATTCGGCAAATAGGGATGTGCCAAGGTACTGGGACTTAGGCAGTAATTAAGTCAAGCTCAGTTCTTGTGTAGGCATGGAGTCTTAGCAGTGGTGATGAGTGTCGAAAGATGGGTCCTGCAGGGAGCTCTCCAGGGACACCTAGTGTAAGGGATAATGAGTGGGAACTGACAAACCAGCCCAATGACAAATGGGAGGGGGAGACTTGCAATGAAGGAATTGTGTGTAAAGGAAGGCCATGAGGCAGAAAGGACTTGACATAGCAGTAGTTATGTGTGAGGTGAGATGGGGCTGGAGAGATGGATGTGGGCCAGGTCCTGCAGGGCTGTCTAAGCCATGGGACAAATTTTGCCTTCAGCCAAAGGCTGGGAAAAAGGTTTGTGGAATTTTAAGTTTTTAGATCATCCTGGCCATTAGTAAGTAGGAAGAGTGGTTTGGAATAGGGTGAATGTGAACATGGCAAGAGCAGTGAATTAGGAGCAGGTTGTGTTTCGGTGGCTCAAACTTGTTGGTAACAGTGAGGCTGGGAGTTGTGTGGTTACAGTTAAAATATAACACTAACGTGGCAGGAGAGGTCATAAGAGCAGGGAAGTTACAGGACTTCCAGGATGCTCTTTTTAGCAGGTGAGGGGATGGTGTGGTACCATTCGCCTGGGGGATTAGGAACGTTGGATAATGAGTTTGCAGTCCATGGGTGGGGGTGATCAGAGATGTCAGGTAGACAGCTGGGTATGGGAATTCATTTGGAAAGGAAGAGGTCAGGGTTGGTGGCCGGTCACCAGAGGATATGGGATTGCCTGAGGGAGAGTGGTGAGAGTCTGGGATAGAATGTTGAGGAAGTGGAGGATCCCCAGGTAGGGATCAGAGGAGGACAGGGCCCTATGAACAAAGTAATTTTAGTAGAGGGAAGTGGTCTGTAATATTAGGTGCTACTTGAGAGTTCCATAGGAGCAGACCTGAACATTTAGGGCCTTTGGGGTGTAAAAACATGGAGGCCATTTTGGCATAAACAGTATTTGGTAGAAGAGGGGCAGTCTGTATTGAAAATGACTAATACCTGACTGAGACAGGAAGAAAGGAAAATAGCAAGTGTAGACAGAATCTTTGAGATTAGTTAATCTCGTTTTAAGACAGAAATCTCTTGTTTGATTGTAAGAGATAGTGCTTGTAAAGGAGGCCTTTTGTGTTTAGATGGGAGAAACTTGGGCTCAGAAATAAAGGGCAGGGTGGATAATTGTGTAGGTCCTCAGGGTGGGTGTGCATGGAATTTGGAACACAAGTTTGGGATAAATGCTCTGCTGCTGTAGGATGGGTCTGGGGAGTGGTGTTGTGGATTTGAGGGTGTGTGTACCCTGAGGAACATCCTGGCTTGCAGCTTCTCATAGATGGCTGTAAGCGTTTCATCTAGGCCTAGATTCCAGATCCGAGGCTTTTTGTATTCAGAAGAAAATGTGTTTGCTGCTTGGGCTCCCTCTGCTTTTGGAAATTTTGGCAGTGCAGTGTGGGGTTATGGGATTGTTGTGTTCAGTGCTTATAGAACAAGTGCTTGGGAAGGCTTAACTAATAGCCAGGATGTGTGGAGAAAGAGGGTCAGAGAGCAAGGGGTGCTGGAGTTGAGCCTAAAGAAATTCAGTAGGAAGGTGACAAGAGAGGATGTTCCTGGCAAAGGATGCAACACATGTAAAAGTCTCAAGGCCAGAGAGGATTTCTATGTTCAGGGTATGTGTGGTAATATAAGAGGAAATTGGGATCTGAGTTTACCAGCATCTATAATGGGGGCCAGTGAACGTTGCAGGTTATAAAGCCTTGACTTTGGTGAGTGATACATCTGGGACTTAATGTCATTCCTAAATTGAGGAGTACCAATTCTGTGTATAGTTTTTCCTCATTAAATATATCATGAGTGAAGCTGCTGAGGTGAAGCTAGGGTGGGTTTGTAAGGTTTTGCTGTGACTCATTACCGTGCACCCTCTCTTAGAACATGAGAATAACATCTTGTTACAGACCTACCTAGTCACTCTGGGATGGTCAGACAATTATCAGGATGGCAGGGCAGGCCCCTTGTTTTAACTGCGGAGCCTCGGAGTGGAGTGGGGTGGCTGTGGGCAGCACTCCTTTTAACTGCTCTCATCCTGCCTGCTTGCAGACCTGCTTCGGATGTTCTTTGACACGCTGTATGACGAGGATGTGGTGAAAGAGGATGCCTTCTACAGCTGGGAGAGTAGCAAGGACCCTGCTGAGCAACAGGGCAAGGGCGTGGCCCTTAAATCTGTCACAGCCTTCTTCAAGTGGCTTCGTGAGGCGGAGGAGGAGGAGTCTGACCACAACTGAGGGCGGGTGGGGCCGGGGACTTGGAGCCCCATGGACACTCGGATGGCCCTGCCAGCCGCCCAGACTGCAGGGGGGGCGGCAGCAGCGGCGGTGGCAATGGGTGCCTGTAGTGCGATGTGTCTGAGCTAATAAAATGGCTGAAGAGGCAGGATGGCTTGGGGCTGCCTGGGGCCCCCCCCTCCAGGATGCTGCCAGGTGTCCCTCTCCTCCCCCTGGGGCACAGAGATATATTATATATAAAGTCTTGAAATTTGGTGTGTCTTGGTGGGGGGGGCACCACCGCCTGCCCCTGGGGTCCTTTTTTATTTTCTGAAAATCACTCATGGGACTGCCGTCCTCGCTGCTGGGGGCATATGCCCCAGCCCCTGCACCACCCCTGCTGCTGCCTGGGCAGGGGGAAGGGGGGGCACGGTGCCTGTAATTATTAAACATGAATTCAATTAAGCTCACTGCCTCCCTGCTTTATGGCCTGCTCCCTCTGGAGAAGGGGTATGGATAGGTGGGCAGCCTCCTTTCCAGAGCTGGCGCTGTAGCACTGTTCCCTGCAACCTGGCACCCCTCTTTCCTTTTCCCCTGTCCATGATTGTGGGGGGCTGTCGGAGGGTCACTGTCCGGGAGGGTTGGACCCTTGAAACGGACATAGTGGGGGCGCCCTGTTGGTTGGTAGGGGAGGAGAGACAAAGAGTTGTGGGGTGCTTCCAGAACACACTTGATAGACTACTGTCCTAGCATGCTGTGATACAGGCCCCTGTGTATGGAGGCGGTCCTGCGTTTCAAGCTGTTTATAGCCAGAGAAGTCCTTTATGGCTTCAAGGTCTCATCTGTAAAAAAGAGGGGGCTGGATGCAAGGAGTCTGACCATCCCCACGCGGCGAGCCTGGCATCCGGGACCCAGTGAGTCCCGCCCACCCTTTTCCCTCAGGGTTGCTCCGCATTCGGGCCTGGGAAGAGAAGACGAGGTGTTTCCGGACTCGGCCCCAGACCGCCCCTGCGTGGCTGTGACGTGTTTCGCCCCGCCTGCCTTGGGTGGTGACGCGAATGGCCACGCCCCCGCGGTGACGTCACCGGCCCGGTTCCCTCTCCGGGGAGCGACGGCGGACGCGCGGCTCCCACCCCCTCCCCTCTCACGGGTTCTCCCCTCCCCGGTGGCGGCCGCGGCCCGACCCTGTGCTAGGCGATGGCCCGGGCCCCGAGCGCGGGCTAGCGTGCCTGGGTGCCCGGCCATGGGCTGTATCGGCTCTCGGAGTCCGGCGGGTCAGGGTAAGAGGGGGAGGCCAGGCACGGGTTGGGGAATTGGGCTGCGGCTGCCGGGTGCGCGGGCCGCGGATGGGTGGGGGCCTTGAGGAGGGGGCCGGTGTCGGGAGAGGGAGGAGCCTGCACCCGGGAGGCGGGCCAGGCAAGAGGAAGGAGAGGGCAGGAGCGGAGAGGGGGCCAAATCCACTCGGCTTCGCTGCCACGGCCTGTCTGCTTCTGGGCTTTGCAGGCTAGACTCGTGGGCTTTCCACCTGGATTCCCACCGCTGAAGGGGGCAGGAGGCACACAGCCTTGGGAGGGGCAAGGTGTCCATGGCGACTGGCCTTCCACACCCACACACTCGTCGCCCCCACGCCCACACCTCTCCTTTACTTTGCCCTGGGAGTGGCTCTGTGGTGGGAACCTGCCTCTCCTAGTTGTGTCCCAGCCCCCTTAAGGGGGCAGTCTGCAAAGCCCGTCAAGCACCCCACTATGGAGTTTTTGGCTAAAAACTTATCTCCTCCCTTCAGAGTCAGATGGCTGATGGAGGAGACTGAGGCCCCATTTGGGGCACCTGTGAGCGCCCGATCACCTTAACTGTTTTAGTTCCCTTCCCCCACTCCCAACAAAAACAAATCATCCTACCTTGTGGTGAGAAAGAGGAGCCCAGAGAGAGGCCATTAGGGCTTCTTACAACTGCTGATCCCTGCTGCTTGGGTCTTGGTTCCCATTGATGGTGGTGCACTCTGGGGCCTGGCCTCAGTCCTTTGCAGCTGAGGTCCACCAGCCTACTTTTCTTAAGTGTCATGGATTTCTCCAAGCCTGAGGCCAGGTGGGGATTTGTGAGGTTCAGGGCTGGGTTTATAATGGGTCCTGGGCTTCCAGGGCAGGTGGTCGGTCATACAGGCCTTAGCGTGGTTGGTACTTGAGATTCTTTGGAGCTAAGTCTCTGGCTGAGATTTGTGCTTTCCTGGGGTTCCCATGAGGAATTATGGGATTTGTAGTCCTAAATTAACCTCATGACTTTTGAAGTTGAGAAGCTGCAGGCTGCTCTGATCCCTCTGGCCCTGCTAAGGCTTGAAGTTCAGGAAGTCATTCCCTCCTGTAGTCGTCAGGAGAGAGTTTTGCTGACCTCAGAAATGGCTTTGAGAGCCCTGATTAGGTACCAGCTGGGGGCCAGGGATGGCCTGTAACCTTGTATCTTCCTTCTGGTTGGTAGCGTTTCTGGGGACCACCAGCTGGCCGAGGCTCAGGGACAGAGACGGCTGCTCCAGCTAAAGGTCAGTTGTGATGTACATTGCCTGTTGGCACCGTCTAGGGGATGGGCCTCAGCTTCCTGAGCTCCAGAGAGCTCTGCTGGGCCCCTTGTACTCCCACCTCCTCAAAGCCAAGAGGAAGGAGTGTTCTCCTTATGTGACTAGGCACAGGTTCCAAGTGGGGAGGGGACTGGCTCAGCATCCGGAGCCAAAATAAGAATAGAACTGGGAGCTGAGCCTGGAGCGGTTCTGGGCTTTTGGTTCTCTGCATCAACACAGCCAGCATGCCTATGATTTCTGTGCTGGGCAAAATGTTTCTGTGGCAGCGTGAAGGGCCTGGAGGACGATGGACTTGTCAGACAAGTCGCAGAGGTGAGACCAGCGACCATAGATGTATGTGATCTGGGAGGTGAGGGGAAGCTGAGGAATAGGGTCCTCAGGTGGCAAAAGGAAAATTACTCTGGCTTAGATATTGGGAACCAGGATGAAACAGGAACAACCAGGCTGGGGCCAGATAGGGCATCAGGAAAAAAGCTTTAGGGGGCTGGGGTGAAAGAAAAAATCATGGGTTTGTCAGAAGAGAAAAGAGCTGCGTACCAGCTGATGCTGGCGAGAGGAAAGAACCAAGAGAAGGAAGGCACCAAGCCTGTAAAGGGTCCAAGGCGGTGGTGGGGAGGAGGACGGCGATGGTGGTGGAAGAACGCGGTGTACTTTTCAAGAGGAATGGGTAGGCCGAGAAACCCAAGACTGAGAATTTATGAAGTTTAGGTTTCATCCCTAGGGTTCTGATGGCAAAATATCTCCAGAGGAGGAAGGGGGCCCACTGGCTGCCACAAAGTGGCCCCAAGGGCCTGAAGGTCAGGAATGTGAAATAGGGGTTTTCAGAATTGTGGAGAGCACCAGGTGGTTGCTGATATTCCGGGAGGTGGGGGATGGGTGAGGAGAAATGATATGGCAGCATCGAATAGAAAATGGGGATTTTGGCAGAAGTGGGAGTCCAGGTGAACAGCCTTTTCCCCACCCCTCAGTGGCCTCGGACCCCGCTTGGGCTGTGGAGTGGATCGAACTTCCTCGGGGCCTCTCTCTGTCTTCCTTGGGATCTGCTCGGACCCTCCGAGGCTGGAGCCGGTCCTCCCGCCCTTCCTCCGTGGACAGCCAGGACTTGCCAGAGGTGCTGGGCCCCTGGTATTGGTAGGGGGAAGGGGGGGCCGCATTCACATTGAAGGGGATCTGTATCCCCCACCCCCGCCTCGCCAGCCTGCTTCTGGCTCCCTTTTCCTGCGAGCGGAGGCGCTATCCGGCCGGCGGGGCCCCAAGGCCGCCCCCGCGCCGGTCTGCTCTGCTCGGCGCGGTGCCAGCGGGCGGGCTTTGCTCCCGCCTTGGGCGCTGACGTCAGCGCATCCCAGGCCGTATCCCGGGAGACCCTGTTGCATGGTGATGGGTTGCCAGGGAGACACACACCTTTTCTCTGGGCCTGGGCTGCAGCTGCGCGGAGCGCCGGCACGGATGGCAGTGGCTGGGGGCAGTGAGGGGAGGGAGGGAGAACAAGCCAGGAAACACCCAGCAGGTGCTCCTCCCCCCGGGCCTGGCCGGAAGCTAACGGCGCCACCCTGGGGCCCCTGTAAGCCAGGTACTGAGGCGGGGAGGGGGGGGGGGGGGGGGGGGGGGGGGGGGGGGGGAGCAGAGGGTGGGGCTGAGGTCAAGGGAGTAGGTGGAGCCCCTCCTGTGAGGGGTGGGAACCTGATCAGGAGAGCTAGGCAATTCCGGGGAGGGGACATGTGCCTCTGACTTCATTCATTCATTGAGGGAAACATTTGTGGGGCTTGCCAAAGAACACTGAACCAGGTGTGGGGTGGAGGTTGGAAGCCAGGTGAATCAGAGTCAGGCCCTGCCATCCCAAGATCCCTCAGGAGAGATGCAAGGGCAGTGCTGGGGTGGGGGTGGGGGGCTACTGAAGAAGAGATAGAGAAAGCTGGACTGAAAACCTAAGAGGTGACACTGAGTCAGGCTTTAGATGGTAGGGAGCATTTTGTCAGACAAGGATGGCGTTCTTAGCCCCGGGGAGAGCTGGGTTCCTTTGCCTGGGAGGCAAGAGGGCTGTTTGCTGACAGGGAAGGTGGAAGTGGGCTTGTCCTGGGCAGAGGAGCTAGGTGGCAGATTCCAAGGCCTGGAAGGGGGCAGGAGGTTCAGAGTGGGCCCCTTCAGTGCCTGACTGTGAAGCTAGTACTTCACTGGGCAGTGGAGGAGCCCAGAAAAGATTTTAAATAAGGACATGTGACCAGTTGCACTCCGGGGAAGATTATTTGTTTACATTTATACTTTGCCTCATTCACTCAGCCTACGTATTTAGGAAGGTTACTCTGTACCAGGCCCTGTGCTAAACACTGGGGTGACCAAAAGAGACCAAATTCCTCCAAGAGCTAGAGACCAGTGAGGGGCACCAGTGACCAATAAGACACGAAGTAGACCAAGATTACACACATAGGGTATGTTCATAGAGGATGGTGACTTGTTACAGAGGGAGGATGGACAACTGGTACAGTAGTCAGGAAGACCCTGCTGAGGGTATGATGTTTTAGCCGAGACCCTAAAGATGAAAAAGAGCCAGCCAGCTCCAGGGGGAGGGAGGGGAACACTTACACAACATTCTAGGCTGAGAAAATCGCATGAATTGAGGGAGCTTGGGGGGGCCACAGCTGTGCTAATCTGGACATGGGGTATTGAGGGCTTGAGGAAGGGAGGGCAGTGGCAGTGGGAGTAGAAAGGATGAGCACGCTTAGGGGAGAGTTGTTGGTAAATCTGAGGTTTGGAGTCAGGCTGAAGGGGCCAATGGTTGGGTGATACAACGTCAGGAAGTCAGGAAGCAAGGCCAGATGTGGGAAAAGATACTGGGTTTGGTTTTGGTCATGCCGAGTCTGTGGCTGTAGAAACAGCTAGAAGACTGAGATGTCTGAAGACTGAGAGGAGGAGAGGGGCAAAGAGGAGAGAACCTGGAGGCAGTCCTTGATGGTGTAGCTTTCTCCCTTCCCCCTTTTTTTTCTTATCAAAGGCCCCACTCCATGGTTCTTGACTTCCCAACCTGCCTCCTTCCCTCTGGGAGCTGGGAAGATGGGGCTGGGGGTGGCAGTTGCAGTTCTGCTCCTTCAGGTCAGCCTGAATCTCTGCTGCTCCTTGAGAGAACATGGCTTGCTGGCTCTGGCTTCTTACTGTCCCTCTTACATATCCCAGCAGCCACTGGCACATACGCACTGCCCTGGAGTCTCCTCAGCTCCTGTATCCCCATGATACCTTGGGTGGGCTGTGGGCATGGAGGGGGATGCCGTGGTTGCTGGAGCACTGACCCTCTGCTGCTGTCAACCCAAGGTGAATGTTGGAGACACAGTCGCGATGCTGCCCAAGTCCCGGAGAGCCCTAACCATCCAGGAGATTGCTGCGCTGGCCAGATCCTCCCTGCATGGTACGCACCCTTCTCCCATCCCTCTGGCCAGTTTGTCCTTCCTGCTTCCCTCCACCCCCATTTTTAAAAAGATTTTTATTATTTATTTGACAGAGACACAGTGAGAGAGGGAACACAAGCAGGGGGAGTGGAAGAGGGAGAAGCAGGATCCTTGCCGAGCAGGGAGCCCAAATCGGGGCTCGATCCCAGGACCCTGGGATCGTGACAAACTAGTTAAAGGCAGACAGACCTTTAACTGACTGAGCCACCCAGGCGCCCCTGTCTGTCCTGCTTCCTTTTGCACATACCCTTCGGGACTGTATACTGTGAGCTCTAGCTGGGATCTCCCTCTTCCTCCCCTTCTCAGATGCAGCTCAGCTCCCTCCGCCGATCCAAAGGCACATGTGGACCCTAACTGCCACCACCCTTCCATGTCCCTCCATGGCCTGTGCCCTTAGCAGGCTTCCTCCTCCTGCCCCACCCGCAGGTATTTCTCAGGTGGTGAAGGACCACGTGACCAAGCCCACCGCCATGGCACAGGGCCGAGTGGCTCACCTCATCGAGTGGAAGGGCTGGAGCAAGCCAAGCGACTCCCCTGCTGCCCTGGAATCAGCCTTTTCCTCCTATTCAGACCTCAGCGAGGGCGAACAAGAGGCTCGCTTTGCGGCAGGTGGGGACAGGGCTCAGCCACATGTTTGTCATCGGGATGCTCTTCCCACAGCCCCATCTCTTCTCTCTCTTGTCTCCAACCTGAGCCCTGGTCTTAGTTCTTCAGCTAATTAATCCTGCTAATGAACCTTCTCTGCTGATAAATTCTTTGGCCTCCCTGACAGGCGTGGCTGAGCAGTTTGCCATTGCAGAAGCCAAGCTCCGGGCATGGTCTTCAGTGGATGGTGAGGACTCCACCGATGAATCCTATGATGAAGACTTTGCTGGAGGAACTGACTCAGGTGAGGGGTAGGCAAGCAAGGCCAGTACTCCCAGCTGGTGGGACGGGGGGACTGCCTGAGAGGCCTTGTGATTCAGAGCTCAGTCTTCCGAAGGGGAGGGTAGGGGCAGACCCTGTCCAGGCAGTCGTTGACCTTCCAGGGGCAAGAGGGCTAGTCATGCTCATGGGTGGGCAGTCAGCAGCTGCAAACGGAGTAGTTCCTTTTGCACATGTGCTGAACCTTCTCTGCCCATCTATGCTGTTGGGCCTTGTGGTCCAGAGACCTCGCCGACACCTTCTGGGCGACTACATCTCTTGGCGGGGGGGGGGGGGGGTCTGCTGTGCCTTGCCTTTTCGTTTCGGGGGAGCCCTCTGGCCAGCTGTGGCAGCACAGATGGACTGGCAGCATAGCACCTCCCAGGGCCTCGGCCCCAGGCAAACAGGAAGGCATGCTGGGCCCGGACTGCCCACAGGGCTATGCTGGCTCAGGCTCAGCCTCCTTGAATTCCATCCGAGACCTATCTCTGGGCTGTTCTCTGGGCCAGTGCTTGCAAAGGGGACCCTGCAGGGCTGTGCAGCTGTGCACGGCCCTCCTTTCATCTTCCAGTTCCTGGACCACATGGCTGACTTTTTCTGTAGCTCCTGGGCTCATGCCTCACAACACTGCCCCCATCCCTGTACGTCTTTGCCTTTGAAGACTGCCTCCGCCAGCCCCCACCCGTCCAGCTAATTAACAGATTCTCCAGGGCCAATCCAGGAGAGCAGATTGGCAATACATTAGACCTCTGCTGTGGTCTAGAGGTGACTGATTTGGGTGCCTGAGGCCAAGATGGAGCCTTGAACCACAAATGTTCTTGTTTGATTGAGTTCCAGGCCTGCTTTGACCCCTGGTATAATGATAATAACTTAACATTTATCCAAGGCCACTGCTACCCCACGTAGAACCTTTGTGCAGATTAGAAAAAAGCACCTCTTTCTCTGGCAGGCACAGCCCCATGTTAGGCCTCGCTGCTGGGTGAGCAGAGTGTGGGTTGAACTCCAGTCTGCATTCACTGCCTTGGACAGGTTCCTCTTGTGCGGGGAACCAGCAGTACCACCGTGTGGTATCTGCATTTATCGCCCTCTTACTGTATACTGTGTTCTTTTATATTGGATTCCCCAATTTACTGTTAAGGAAACGGAGGCCCTGAGAGGTTAAGTGACTTGCCCAAATCTACCCAGCTCCTACCCTTTGCCCCCAAAACTAGTGGTGCCGAGGCTGGAGCAGGGAGAATGTGACTTCCAGGTGGGCCGACTGAAACGGGGCAAGTAAGGCTATCTTCTTTTCTCTCCCCCCTGCAGAGATGGCCGGACAGCTGCCTCTGGGGCCCCATCTCCAGGACCTCTTCACTGGCCACCGATTCTCCAGGCCTGTGCGCCAGGGCTCTGTGGAGCCTGAGAGCGACTGCTCGCAGACCGTGTCCCCAGAGACCCTGTGCTCCAGTCTGTGCAGCCTGGAGGATGGGTTGCTGGGCTCCCCAGCCCGCCTGGCCTCCCAGCTGCTGGGCGACGAGCTGCTCCTCGCCAAACTGCCCCCCAGCCGGGAAAGTGCCTTCCGTAGCCTGGGCCCCTTGGAGGCCCAGGACTCACTCTACAACTCGCCCCTCATGGAGTCCTGCCTTTCCCCCGCCGAGGAGGAGCCAGCCCCCTGCAAGGACTGCCAGCCTCTCTGCCCGCCGCCGGTGGGCAGCTGGGAACGGCAGCGGCAAGCCTCTGATGTAGCTTCTTCTGGGGTGGTGTCCTTAGACGAGGATGAGGCCGAGCCAGAGGAACAGTGACCCAGATCATGCCTGGTGGTGGCATGTGGCTCCTGGCCACCGCTGGGGGCAGAGCCTCTGTGCCCAAGTGCGGGCGAGAGGCTTCCAGCAGAGCTCCAAAGCCTAGAGGGCTCCTGGGAGCGCTCACTCCTCCGTTGTGTGTTTTGCATGAAAGTGTTTGGAGAGGAAGCAGGGGCAGGTTGGGGGCGCATGTCCTGCCCCCACTCCTGGGGTTTGCCGGGGGTTGCCCGGGGCCCCTGGGGCATGGCTACAGCTGTGGCAGACAGTGATGTTCATGTTCTTAAATCAAAAACGCCACATACACATTTCCTCCTTGGATGATGTGAACCCCTAAGGGGGTGGTTGTGACTGGGCCGTGTGAGGTGGAACAGGAGGGAGCCCGGCGCCCCCGCCCCCTTCCCCATGCCTCTCTCTTCTCTGCTTCTCTCCACCTCTAAGTCCATGTGCAGTGCTCGATAGAATCCCCCTACCCCAGGGTGGGCTGGCTCTTACCCTCCTGGAGCCTAGGCTTGAGCCGTCCCCCAAGGGCCCCTTGCCCAGCTGGGCTCGTGCTGTGCTTCGCCTCTCCATCTCTAAATCTTCTTCTTTTTCCTAAAGAAAGAGGGGTTTTGGTCTGTTCTTTCAGTCGGGGTGTTCTCTGGGAGGCACTGGATTGATGAAAGCATCTACTCTCCACCCTTTTCCTGGCCCCTTGTAGGATGTGTGGGCAGGGTCCCAGCGGCTCCCAGCCTGTCTGGCTGCCCCATACCCCAGGTTCCCCTTAGAGCCGAGCTGGGAGGGAGTAGGTGGCCCTGGTTGCTGGGGAGCCGTGAATGACGGCCATGTTCTTCCAGAGAGGACCACAAGGGGGCCACGCGGGTGGCTGGGCAGCTGTCTGCTGACTCCTGAGCCTGGCAGGAACTGTGCCAACAAGTGACAGTCATATGGGAGTGTCTCTCCTTGGGGAAGGAGGAGGGTAGTGCCTTTCTTGGCTGAATCCAAGGCCAAAAACTACAGTACCAAGGGCCTCTGCCCCAGCTAGGGTTTGATAACAGAGCAGTGGCAGCTCTGTGGGTCAGGTATTCCATAGACCCAGCAATGGAGCTGGATGGCTGTGGGGGCTGTGGGTGGCTGAAGAATTCGGAGCCTTGTAGGCTTTGGCAGGTGAGACGGCCCAAGGTAAGAACAAGAGCTGATGGGCACAGGAATTCTATACATAAGTGGCTCATTAGGTGTTTATTTTGTTCTATTTAAGAATTTGTTTTATTAAATTAATATAAAAATCTTTGTAAATCTCTATATACATCTGGTCATTGGAGGAGGTTCCAGTATAAACCCATCTTAGTTCTACCCTTTTCCCCCTCCAAGGGGGAGCAGGGGTCCAGTGCCTCTACCCCTATCCTGCTGGGCGGATGCTGGTCTTCCTGCCCATGAACACTTGCTGCAGGTGGGCACTCAGAGTCCGGGGAGGACGAACCGGGAGGAGCTTGGTACCCCCCAGGCCTGGAAGGGGGGCTAGGGCTCCAGCCCTTAGTGTAACCACCTCCTTTCCCACGGCAGAAGGAACAGGAGAGCTTCAGGATCAGCATGGCCACTGCCATCCCAGGCTGCCCATCTAGGGGTTCACTGGCACTTGTCATCGCTGTCAGAAGGGCTCCCCTCCCGGGGGAGGCCATGATGGGAGTGGGGCCCCCAGAGTGCATGCACCTCCGTGGTCTCTGTGTCACTGCTGCTGGTGGCGCTGTCACGGAAGCTGGCAAGGGGTGGCCGCACTTTGACGCCCTGTGCTGTGACGGAGCCCTCAATTGCCTTCCGGAGCTGGAAGGAGGAGAGGGTCAGATGTGCAAACTCCAAGCTCCGTGCTCAGACCCCACCCCTCGGTGGGTTGGACGCAAGCCTGCATGCCTTTTTCGAAGCAGAAATGGTTTAGTGGCCACTGATCATCTCACCTCCTTTAAAGTGACAATCCCAATGAGTCTGCCGATACTGGTGACATAAGCGTGGTCCACTCCCAGTAGTGAGAAGATGGTGTGAGTCTGTGGGGTCGGGAGAAAACACACTGGACATCATGCGCAAGGGGATGGTTCTAAATCACTGGCCAGAGCAGCCCCGGACAAGTTGGGGCTGGGGGTAGGAGGGGCACCCTAGATGGTGGGGGGAAGGGAGGACCACAAGAGGGAAAAGAAGAATGAGAATGTTTCCACAGCCAAGCCTCAGAAACATGATAATGGTTATCTTTACGTTCCTTATGTTGATGAAGAAACAGAGGAAGGATTCTTCATCCCATGTTAGAATAAAGGAGGATGACGGAGGAGAGAACTGTTCAAATGTGACACCTAATGATTGGCCAGGCACTGGGCTAGGTCTTTCTGAAATTAGCAATTAACTTCAGTCCTGTTCTGAGAAGTAAGGATGCTACCCATTCTATGGGAGAGGCAGCACAAGCTCAGTGGTGAAGTGACTTCACAGCTCCAGAAGGAGCTTTCCCTCATGCTGCCAAAGGAGGAAGTGTGGCATCAGTTCTGCGCAGGTGTCCAGTCACAGAGTGTCCCTGCCCTTTAGGGCAATGAGCCCCAAGCTCTGTGCCTCTCACCCCCACTTTAGTGGCTGACGCATGCTTCCCATTTGCCTCCAGCTGGCTGGCTCTTGGAAGTGGCCCCTCTCCCTGGCTCTGACTGTTGTGGGCGGAAGCACTCCATGTCTCACCTATAGTTCGGCTCTCCCAGGGCCGAGCAGCACCCCAGGTACTGTTCAGTTAGAGCCTGAAGTCCAGGGAAGCGATAGCCATCCACAGCCTCCCATGTTTTTCTTGGTTTGGGCTCTCCCCTCAACTTTCACATGTAATCCCCAACGGCTCAGAAATTGTCAACCAGTTCCCCTTGTGTCCTAAGTAGATTTTCTTGGGCCAGATGTCTTGAACAACACTATCCTGATATAGCACTTCCTGGAATTTGGGGCCTATCACTTATCACTGTGTTTTGAGTGTACTTGTAAGCTTCTTGGCTTAGTGTCTGAATCCAAATGGGCATTAATAACCCAGCTTTTCGAGTACCAGTTACTCAGAACTCATTATAACTGTCTGAGAGCTTTAAAAATATTTGCTTAAACAGTTACTAAATTTTTTTTTTAGTAACGGACTTCCAGAACTTAACTCTCCAGCTAAGGCATGACCGTACCTACAACAGAAGTTAGAAGTTCAGTTTTAGAACAGCTTCTCTGTGCTCCTTTAATACCTTTATCATTACTGTCCTGTGGTTATTAGCAAGTTCTTCCTCCTATCTAACTTGAATCCTACGTGCTGCATGTTTCCTTTAATTTCCTCCTCTGACTTCAAAGGGAAATATACCATTATGAGATTTCTTGTCTTAATAATCCCCTAACTTTGTCTTCTTATGGTTTAATTATCCCTCTATCTTCTCCCAAGTATCCAAGTATCTAATAGATCATTCCCCTGGATTTTTCTTTTTTCCACAGCCCTAGTGAGAATGAGCTTCTGGCAGGCTGTCTGTCTTTTAGGTTTGCAAACCACTGGTCCCGGGCAGTCACCAAGCACTGCTGATTTGCTTTCGGAACATCTTGGCCATTCTCTCTGATGCCCTCACCATCCTTACCACAACATCCTCGTGAGTTCTGTTTTTGGTCTCCCTTCCCTCCAACTTGGCTCTGCCATCCTATGAGCTTTCTCAAACTTGAATTAGAGCCCAGACTCCCCAGAATGGCCCACAAGACCCTTCCCAAAGCCATCCCAGCTGGTCTTTCCAGCCTCAGGTTCTGCCAGGCCCTTCAGCTTATAGTCTCACGTATTCACTCATCTTTTTTCTCAAAACGTTTATTTCTTATACACGTCAACCCTTCCCTCACTACACTACCTTTTAAAATGTATAAACAATGATAGGAGACATTCCTTACATATACTCAACTCCTACTATGGCCAGCACTGTTCTAAACATCCTGTATCCAGTCCTTCCTCCAAAGAAAAACCTTTGACAGAGTACTGATCCCCCTCCTACTGACAAGGAAAGTGAAGCCCAGAGAGGCTAAGAAATTCACCGAGGCTACACAGCCAGCTTACACATGGCCAACTGAGGATTTGGGTAAAAGCCCGGCTGGCCTAGCTTTGGCAACCTTGCCTCCCCCACTGCTTGCCTGCCTGCAGGTGGCCTCAGAATGAAAGTGGCATGGAGCTGGTAGGGCTGGCCGGCTCCAGTCTCCCAGCTTCCTAGTTTCCAATGGATTCTCTCTCCTCCTGAATGTTCTCCTCCTGAACTTGATTAGGCTACTACTGATTGATTCCTCAGGCCTGCAAGGACATTTTGAATTCTAATCTTTTATGTTCTTATCACGCCCAGTTCTTTGTATTTTTGTTAGTCGGTTCCTCAAAGGCTTCTTCTCTTCCTCTGATTTTTAAGTTTGTAACAAACACCTACTTTGTTCTTTTTCACTTTAATTTAATTAGACACCAGGAAGCCCATTGGAGGGCCTGCACATCTTGCGCTTGGAAACAGTGAACTGACGGGGAGGGACAACAACGTGGCTTTCTGAAAGAATCCTGGGATTGGGGCCAGGAAATCTGGGCTCTGGGCCTCATTCTGCTGTACTGACTCAGGCAAGGGACCTCCTCACTGCCTCAGTCTCCCCAGGTATTAATTAAAGTGGTTAAGTCCCCAGGCTTTTGGGTCAGGCTACCTTGGGTTCCAGTCTGATTGTGCTACTTACTAGCTGTGTGACATTGGGCAACTTGCTCAACTTCTCTGCATCTCAATGTCCTCATCTATAAAAACTGGAATATCACAATATCTATTTCACAGTCTTGTTATGAGGATTAAATTAAACATGAAGAGCTTAGCAAGTGCCTGACACATAGCAGACACTAAAAACATGGCAACATTATTATCACCATCATCATCATGGGATATTTGAGGACTCAGTAAGATGACAGAAAACCTTTAGAGGGTTTAGGAAGAAAGGCTTTAAATAAAAACTCAGTGTATTCTCAGGCCTATGGATTTTCTTGCAATTGCACGTAGTTCCCCAGTTACTCTGATCTGAGATCTTTACGCAAAGGCTTATACATTCCTTTATTGCCTTTTGCTTTTTTTTTTTTTTTTAATACCTTTTGCTTTTCTGTTTCTTTGTGCCCTGTGCTTTCTGGCCAGCCCCTGCTTGTCTGAGATAGGCTGGCTCTTAGGCACAGTTTGTACCTCGGCTAGCTGCTGGGGCTGCAGATCTTGGGAGCCTTTCTCCGCTGCCTCCCGGCAGCCCCCATGTCTTGGAGGCGTGCACGGTTTAAATCTGTCAACAATCGAGCTAAAATACTTGGGTTTTTGCCCCAGCACCCTCCCGGGTTTGCCCGCATTCCCTTAGAAGCCTTCAGGGGCCCACTGATGCCGTGGCTCTGTGCTGGGGAGCCCCTCTCCCTCCACCAACCTATCTGCACTCAAGTTTTCTCCCCACTTCTGCAGGCCGTCTTGCCCTTCTCCTGAGCTAGCTTCCCGGTTCTCTACCAGTTTTCCTTTGGCCTACATCAAGTCAGACTTTCTGGGGTCTGACATTCCAAGCCCCCCACGAGGCGTTTCTCATCTTTGTTTATCTCTTCTCTGCAGTGTCCCCACCCCTACTTGGATGTTTGTTAGCTTGTTTATTGGATTTTCTTGTCCTGCTTGTTTCTCACCCATTTTTTTCAGCGTGGGTGTATCAGCCTTGTTGGGTGCTGGCAGTCTCCCGCCTGGCTCTGACCCTAGCCTGGCCTTCTGGCTTCCACCCAGCTCAAACCCTGTCTTTGTTGCTGCTTTGGTCCAGAGTTCCCTAGGGGCAAGGCTGACCAGAGGAAAAATGATGCCTGGCTCCACAGTAGGCAGGAAGAGGCTAAGGGGCCCTGGCTCCCGGCCTCCCATCTTTTGAGGCAGTGTGTCTGAAAAACATCTCAGCAAAGAGCCCACCCTCTGCTGTCCTGTTTTCCCCCACTGGCCTGTGTCCAAAGCTGCCGGAGGACCTAGATCCCCCCCTCCCCCATGCTCCTGAGAGCCCAGGCCAGCCCCCGGGCCCTGGCCCCTACCTTGTGCAAAGAGGTCCGTTCCACTAGCTGGAAGGGGGCAGGGTCAATTTTGCAGTCACTGAAGTTGACAGGTTCATCCAGCTTTTGTTCCTCCCACTCCAGAATCTGAGAGGATGAGACCAAGAGGATTAGGGCAAAGGTGCCAATATCTGCTCTCACCTCCCTGAAAGCTGGCCTGCCCCTTTTCCCACCCCATGGTCCCTCCCATGGGGACAGCGGCAATGATGATGACTACATA